TATAAGAATTCGGCGCCCGCGAGGATATTGACCCTATTGTCAGCTGATGTTATTTGTAAGTTTCACTTCTGGTTTTTTGTTTAAGTATTTTCAAGATTTTTTTATGAAATTATCGTTTCATTTAGCTGTACTAACATGATAGAGCGTAAATAAAGTTAATAAAACGTTGTGAAAACAACGTGTGTGTTAAGGTGTTGTACATACTATCATCTGTCTTCGTTTTCGGGAGTGTTTCACAAACACCCAGGGTAGAAAGGACTGGGGAGGGGCCAAAATAGGACTTACCATGATATATACTGCGGTATAGTGAGTTAGCCAATAGCCAGTCACTCCGATATTCTCGCTGCTGCTACCTGTTCCGTTGATTTGGTTTTATTCTGTTATTGATTTATTTGTTACGTTTTTGACTCTACTTTATTGTGAATTCTTGAAATGCTGCGATTGACCAAGTTCTGTCCGCGAGAAATCGCTGACATCCATTACTATTATGGAATGCCACGTGGACGCACAGCAAACGCTCGTTCTGCATACATTATTGCATTTCGGGGAAGACTTATACCGTCACGAAATTTTCAAGAAGTTCACCGGAAGCTATACAATATATGACTTGGATTAGCACAAGATGACCGTGAACGACAATAGAAGAGGCAGTTTTAAACGATTTGCTTGCTGATCCTACAACCAGCATTAGACGGTTGGCTTTGCGTCACGGTTTATCAAAGACATCGGTATGGCGAATTTTGAAAAAAGAGGGATTACATTCATACCATTACCAGCACTTGCATGAAAATGTAGACAATCGTCCTAGGTGCGTCCTGTATGCGTGAATTCAAAGAAGATTTAGAAACGATCTACAATTTTATAAAACTATTTTATGGATCGATGAAGCAAAATTCACTCGTAATGGAATTACAAATTGCGGGAATTTAAGAAAATCCACACTTAAAGTCTATATATTTTAATGTGCAGTTCTCTATGAATGTGTGGACAGCTCTTATCGATGACGTATTATTTGGTCCAGTTATTTTACCTAGTACATTAAACTCCGAACGTTTTCTAACTTTATGAACAGATGAACTGCGATTACTGCTCAATAACACTAGGCTGACTCCTGGCCACAAGGTGACGGGGGTGTATGTTTTTGCAGATGGATGGATATCCTGCTCATTACGGGCGAAATGTGCGAAGTTTTTTTAAACGAAAACTATCCAAACAGATGGATTGGCTGGGGTGGACCAGTGGGCTGGCCAGCGTGTTCACCTGATCGACACCTCTCGACTACTTTTTGTAGGGTGCTATGAAACAAAAAGTCTACGTAATCACGTTACCACAGTAAGCACCATGACCAAATTACAAGATCAAATTTTTCAGTGTGCGAATGAGATAAAAAGTGACCCAGGGATGGTGCGTGGAGCTATAAACCAAAATGATCTTCGTGCAGCAATGTGCCTCCAACAAGGAGGGGGACATTTTGAGCATTTAATGCATTAGTTATAAGAACTATAAAAAATTATGTGACTTGATTAAAACTTGTAATCTAAATCTGACTTTTAATGGTGAAATGTTAACATCTCTTAGCCAGCGTGTTTTTGGGTTACAACGCAGTTTGTTTTTAATTGAAAGGCAATATGGTAGAGAATAATAATAAATCATAAAATTTCCTGGAATTGGAGGTATAATTCTGAGATAATTAAATATCACTTTTTTGCGAGCTAATTGTTATTTTATCCTTACCGCCAAGTACGTGGCATATTTTTTTATTTTAAAGTAATCGACCCACTACTTGTATTGTCGATAGTTTAGGGTCTAGTTTCACCCTCTTTCGGAATTTCACTTTACCGAGGGACACAACGTATTTTCTTTAATGACCCGTTCAGCTAATGATGTGAGTATATTATATAATCACAACCTTGAGTACTTGGTTTAATTTTTTGTGGTATTTTAGGTTTCGATGTATTGTCTTTACATTTACTCAATTTGTTTTACGAAATACGTTTACCGACTTCCGAACACCAAATCGACTTCGCTGTCCTTTATCTTGGTGAACACAATCTTTTGACGATAATTTTTTTTTTTATATAGAATAGGGTGCAAACGATCTTGCGGCTCACCTGATGGTAAGTGACTACCGCCGCCCATGAACAACCGCAACACCAGGGGAAATGCAGATGCGTTGCCGGCCTTTTAGAAAGGTGTAAGCTCTTTTCTTGAAGGTTCCTAAGTCGTATCGGTTCGGAAAATTCGCTGGTGGTAATTGATTCCACAAAGAAGTTGTGCGAGGGAGAAAACTTCTTCTAAATCGCACAGTGGTGGACCGCCAATCATCCAGATGGTACGGATGGTAACGCGAGTTTTGTCGCGACGTGCGATGGTGAAATTGAGCGGCTGGAATTAGTCCGAACAATTCCTCAGAGCACTCCCCGTGATAGATGCGATAAAATACGCAAAGAGATGCAACATCTCTACGCAGTGCCAGTGTATCGAGCTGATCGGAAAGAACTCGGTCGTCGACGATTCGAATCGCTCTGCGCTGGATGCGGTCAAGTGGAAGGAGCTGGCACTGGGGTGCCCCGGCCCAGAGATGAGAACAGTATTCCATGTGGGGCCGAACTTGCGCTTTGTAAAGTTGCAAGCGATGTGCCGGCATGAAATACTGTCTCGCTCTGCTGAGCACGCCAAGCTTTTTAGAGGCCAATTTGGCCTTCCCTTCCAAGTGACCACGAAACTGCACGCTATTCGATATGTCGACGCCAAGGATTCCGATACTGGCTGAGGCAGCAAGGGTAGTGCCTTGAAACTGAGGAGATACGACAAAGGGGTTCTTTTTAGCGGTAAACGCGCAAACTTGTGTCTTCTGGGGATTGAACTGGACTAGATTTAGTCGGCCCCAATCCGAGACTTTGTTAAGCAAAGACTCGACTTCAGACACAAGTTTGTCCCGGTACTCGGCGACGTTTTCCCGAGAAATATTGGCACGGCCGGTATATAAGGCATCCCCAGTGCTGTCGTCTGCATAGCAATTAATGCTACCAGTTAGCAACATATCATTGATATGCAGGAGAAACAGCGTTGGTGATAGCACGCAGCCTTGTGGAACACCAGCGTTGATAGGCTTGTAATCAGAGCATGCACCGTCTACTACGACCTTGATGCTCCGATCAGCAAGGAAACTGGTGATCCATTTGCACAATTTCTCGGGAAGCCCATAGGAAGGAAGCTTCGAAAGAAGCGCCTTGTGCCAGACCCGATCGAAGGCCTTCGCTATGTCCAAACTAACGGCCAATGCCTCCCCCTTGGACTCTACTGCCTCCGCCCATCTATGAGTTAAGTAAACTAGAAGATCACCCGCTGATCGACCCCGACGAAAACCGTACTGACGGTCACTGATATCCCCCAGAATACGCGGGGCAGCCTGAGCACCCACGCTTAGGAGTAATTTGCTGTAAATATGCATGTTTCAACATTTGTAGGTCTATGAGCGATACTTAATAATTACTTGCGTAATGATAAAGGTTTTATATTATCATTCAGTGTATTTTTCGATACTAGTAGAAAGTGCAATTGTGAGAGGCAACTACATGCCTTTCCCCTTGTAGGATACTTGTGGAAGGTAAAATATGTCAAAGGAGGCATTTGATTAAAAATAAATCAAATCACGAACCGACAGTCAGTCATAATCTCGATAGGAGAAGTAAAAATGATGTGATTTTGTGCATATTATGATCTGATAGAAGAAACAATGTAATGATGCTTCCAATATGATATAAATCTCAGGTTTTTTCTCCGCTTAGGCACCTTAAGATATTATTGTAACAAACTGTCCGCTGGATTAAGCTATCGTCAAAATCTCCCAAGAATTTGCAATGTAACGCATTAGTATAATATGGGGAATTTTCTTGACTATATTATCTAAAACTTTTGCCTACCTTAATTGGCTAGTAATAAAAAGAAGTTATTATGGTTATTTGACACAAGCTGACAGTTGACACATGACGTTGACGTTTAAATTGCAATGTTTTGTTGCTCTATAATAATATACAATATACATATAAATGTATATAGGCAGTGTGACCATATGTGGCAGGTTCCTGCCATTTTGGCAGGATTGGCCTCTTATTTTAGCCTCTGGCATGATCGGTTGACGTTTTATAAAACCTGGCAGTATTTGGCAGTATTGGGGTATTCAAAATAGATTTCATTATGACAACTTAAAATGACGAAAATGGCAACACTAGATACTTCGCCAGCATGTTGGGGATTTCCTTGTATTTCACGATTTCTCGTATTATGTTTGTATCACATTCAATAAACAACTTTAAATTTTTTTGTGTATAAAGTTAATAATCTTGAAACGAATTAACACGTGTTGGTTAATATTTCAATCAGTCATAAAAGAGACATACTTTAGTTTGGTATGCATTATATTTCATGGTGATAACATCTTGGTAATAATATTTCGTTGACGATAGTAATTATAGGTGGCGGTGATGAACCGAAAATATGAAAGGGCGTATCGAGCGAAGTGGGAGCAAGATCTTTTACTTTCATCAAGGATCTCCAAAGCTAAAGATGATCGAGACTGTGTCACTACAAATTGGCACCCCGGCTGTCCGCTTTAAAGGAGCATGCCGCTAATAGTAAACATCAAAAAAATATGAATGGATCCAACATGCGAAAGAGTATTCTCTTAAATAAATTTAATTAAGACAAAAACACGAAACAGATTTATAAACAAACATTTACCGTCTATCTTATATGTTAACAAGGCATTGGTGAGCATGGCGATTGCATTGCATTCAAACCATTGAAAGATATGTTTAATTTTTATTAAAAAAAATATAGCATTTATATGTGTATTTTTACTTTTCTTAGTTTAATACAATGGTAAATAAATTTGGCAGTATTTAGGCATTTTTCACTATAGACTTTGGCAGGATTTGGCAGGTTTTTAACCAAAGTAAGGCAGGATCTGTATTTTAAAGATGGTCACCCTGTATATAGGATTCATAAATAATAATTATAGTGATTGAGCAAATTTTTGTAAAAGATCTTTATAAAATTAATTTTTTTAAGATTGATGTTTGATGCTTGCAATCTAAAAGAACGACAGTTAAAGATATGATGCGAATAGGTGTGATACTATATTTATTTTTTCTTTATTCCAGCGGTAGGGCTTCTGATGAAGCAAAAGCTGATAAAGTAGTAGTAGATTGTAATACTTTACGTCTAGGACAGTATATTTGTCCCGACCCTAGTATTAATCAAATAGATCCAGATACACAACAGTATCGCGGATGTACAAAAGGAAAAATTGTTCCATCTGAAGGTGAAGCGGAAGGTAATCAAATATTATTATTATATTAAAAGTTATATGTACAAAATTTTATATATTTAATTAATTTGAATTTGATTGAATGAAAACTATAGCATCTATTCTTGTCATAACAGTGCAATGTATAGCAGCTGATGGAATTATATGCAATGAAACTAATAATTCAACATTTAGTAAAAAGCTACCATGTAAATGGACGTAAGTAATGTTTTTACTGATGTTTTTCATTAGATCTTATAATAGTTCTAGTATTTACTTGTAACTTTAGAATCACTAGTTAATTTTACTTTATAAAGCTTAGCCTTAAAAGCAGTAGTAGCCTAAAGGCCAATACCTACTTTTTAGGATTCCTTATTCAAAGGATAAGCAATGGGACCCTATTACTAAGCCTCTGCTGTCAGTCCGTCATTCTGTCAACACGCTGTATCTCAAGATACGTAATAGGTAGGCACTGAAATTTTCACAGAATGTGTGTTTCTGTTGCCACTATAACATCAAATAATAAAGATAAATTAAAAATTAAAGGGGACTCCCCTAGTAGACACGTGTTTTACAATGGTATGGTACCCTTCATGTGAGTCTGATTTGCACTTGGCCAGCTTTTTAAAATTATTACTTTTTACAAACAAGTAAGCAGTCTATCTGTAAATCACTTACTATCATTTATCTAGTAGTGCCATGCTGCAGCTATATTATGGTTGTAGAATGATTGGGTCGGCTTGACCATGAAAATACCACACTTTCAAAGTATACCAGTATAATATAGCAGCTTAATGCTGCTGCCAGGTTTGTAAGGTGGTGTAGACAACTAAATACCCTTTTTACTGGAAACAAGGCATTCCATCTAAGTAGACATCATAGTTAGTTACCATCTGGTGAGCCGCATGCTCATTTGTCCCACTCTTTTATATAAGAAAAGAATCAAAACGCCGATTCATTGTCTTTTTTACGTGACTACCGCCACCCATGAACAACTGCAACACCCAAGAAAATTGCAAGTGAGTTGCCAGCGTTTTAGAAAGGAGTAAGCTCTTTTCTTGAAGGTTCCTAAGTAGTATTGGTCCAGAAAAATCGCCGGTGGTAATCAATTTCACATAGAAGTTGTACTAGGAAGAAAACTTCTAGTACAATGCACAGTGGTGGATCATCAAGCTTCCAGATGGTGTGGATGGTATCGTGCATTTTGACACGATGTGCGTTCGTGAAATTTGGCTGCTGAAATTAATCCAAAAAATTCCACAATTTCTTGGGAATCCCATAGGAAGGGAGCTTCGAAAGAAGTGCTTTGTGCAAGACCCGATCGAAGGCCTTCGCTATGTCCAAACTAACGGCCAATGCCTCCCCCTTAGACTCCACTGCCTCCGCCCATCTAAGAGTCAGGTAGACCAGAAGATCACCAGCTGATCGACCTCGACAAAAACCGTATTGGCGGTCACCAATCAGCTGGTGATCCTTAAGGTACCTCATGAGCTGGCAGTTTATAATGAACTCCATTATTTTGAAGAACAAGGAGGTGATGGCGATAAGCCTGTAGTTGGAAGGGTCCGAGCGGTCGCTTTTTTAGGGATCAGGTGGACCAAAGCTATCTTCCATGAATTCGGAACTACGCCTTGGGAATAGGAGTACCGGAAAAGACCGTAAAACCAGTGCCAACTCCAGAGCACACGTTTTCAGCATAATGGAAGGGACTCCATCAGGCCCAATCGACTTGTTGACGTCCAGGGAGAGAAGTGCTTTGCGAACCAAGCTCTGCGTAAACCGCACATCCGGCATGGATTTCTTACACCGCGATCAGCTGTGTCCCGGGGGGAGATATATGAAGTATCAGCCGGAGAGGACACCTGAATCTCGGTTAAAAAGAGCAAGGCCGGCTTCACCGTCTCCAGATGGTAGTGGAGTAGTCGAGAATTTTGCCCCCCCCCCCCCCACAGTATACGCGGGGCAGCCTGAGCACCCAAGCTCAGGAAGAGTAGGATAGCTTGGTCGTGGATGCTCAGCGAGGAATTCTCTGTCAACAGGAGTGCTGGTACCCTCCAAGGGTTGTGTTTATTTGATTCAGCTACCATGTTAGGGGAGGGGGGGGGGGCGAATTGGGACTCCGGTCACCTGCATTTACCAAGCGAAACGCAGAAGTAGCCAGTCCAGTTCGAGTTGGCCCGTCCGTGCGTTAGCAAAAGCTACTGCAACACGTGGCTCTACCACTGTTATTTCTCTTATACTGTTATATTCTTAACCGAGGATAGATGTCTATGGGCCACAGTATTCACTTCCCATCAGGTAGATGGATTGTGTGCTTGTATGTCACCCTCATTCTATAAAAAAATACACTCCTAACTTGTTGGATGTGAAGTTTGATGACACATTCAACCAACTTCCAATACTAAGGCTAAAGATATCTGTCACTTTTAAGCACTAAAATGGAATACCTCACATCTTGTTATTTCATATATACTTTGTACCTTGCTCAAACCAGTCACAGCAGTAGGCAGTAGCACTACTGCTTGACATCAGAAGGTGAAAATTGTTGTGCCAATGCAGATAGCTTCTCAGTCAAAAAGAGTTCTACCATCTAAACGTCATAAAAAAATCACTACATAACTAACTATCATTAATATTCTGTAATGAAAAAAAACAAGATATTGTAGCTGAGAAAGCTAAGTGCTCTTCGAAAATTTTATAGTATGTATGCAGGCAAACTTAGCTTAATCTCTGCCAGTGCTACTTAAATTGTTAATTGCAATTACAAGTTCTAACTTGCCACATACTTGGCAGTAAAGGAAAATATACCGACCTACAAATCTACCTACATTTTGAAAAAAAAATGAAAATTTAAAGTTACAACTTCTAACCATCTTTATCCTGTACGTACAAATTCCACCAAAAACAAGTGTAAGAAAGGGTCTTCCAGAATTTGTTCTAAATGAGTGGCAGAACAAGCGTGTCTACACAAGAAACAATTCTCTCTCTCAACTGTCCAGTATACTGGTCCATAGATAGTATACCTCCATCTGGTCCACTACATTTCTTCACGTCTAGATCCCGTAAGGTTGTACGAATCTCCTTGTTAGTGATGCGGATCTCTAACATAGAGGAGATCTCCAAAATGAGGTAGTTCAGGTGGACAATAAGAGATGCAAAAAAGTCTGCTTTTTCTTTAACTGTATGCGCTGGTCAGAACAGGTCTTGACTACTTTAGCGAGAGACGGTAAAGTTCTACTGCCGGTTGGTATAGCAAAGATCATTGCGTCCGTTTTTTTTATGCAATCAAAACTGCCCTTCCATAACGTCTTTTTTTGAGGAGATCGGCGGCCTTTGTGTCTCTACTTAAAAGTAAAGTGAATGAGCAATATGTTTTTGGTGGTAACACAAAAGAAACTTGCCAAATTTGATCATTATACTGCATCTTTCTGTTTCTGTCTCAGTGATATCATCTTCCAGTGACCTCCGAATAAATTTTATTTGCTTATTATTGCTTCAATGCACTGTGTAATTTGTTTGACTGTGGGATGGTTTTTTAAATGACTAATTTGATAATTAAAGATGTTAAAAATTAATTAGCTAAGATTCATTTAATAAATAACTAATAATAGTTATTAATATCTTTAATATAACGTATTTTTGCAATGTAACGCCTGATTCTATTAATTACTTCGTCTTTATAAATTTGAAGAAGTATCTACAGAACTAGATAATTTGTGACCAGATTGATTTTTAACCCCTAGAAAGTATCCATGTTCTCTGTCACTTTCTCTTCTCTTCCTGATCCGAAATCTAAACTCTTATATGCAAAGTCGACAATTGCGTATGTCGTTTGTCCAGAACTTGGCCCCCTTTTCACACTTCCGTTATTGGTGAAATATCACTAATTATTTAATTTGAAATTTAAAGTTATTTATAGTTTTATTAATCTGATTAAATACATAACCTTAAACGTTTTTTATTGCGTTTATGCCTTACTGATTTACTGTTTTCTTTTTTTAATATAAACTAAGTATAAGAATTAAATGTGGACACCCAATATTGATAATTTTAAGTTTGATTTTTCTTTTGTATATGGGTAACATTCTTCCATGATGCCAAATTTGAAGATTTTAAGTAGGCCTGGAACATAGAACATAGAACCTAGGTTTTGACAAGTGAGTCAGTGAACGAGCCATTTCAAACCTTAATATCTCAAATTGGTTTATTCAAGAAAATTTAGGTTTTTAGGTATCCCAGGATTCCTTATTTAGGTGTGCAAAATGGCAAGTGTAGGTCTAATACTTGTTAAGTTATAGGGTTTGAAAGTGGCTCGAAATTGTTTGTCTTGTTCTTTGTGTGTGTCAGAAAAAAAGGGTGACACAGAGTCAATGCGTAATATACACACTGACTGTGCGTCACCCTTTTTTTCTGAACTTGGCAGACACTACCGTATGTCTAGATGTAGTGAGATTAAGAAGTTAACATATGTTAATGTTTTAAATTAAATTATAGAGATTATTTACCTTTTTCAGGAATGGATACTCCCTTGAAATAGCGCTGCTTTTATCAGTCTTTTTGGGAATGTTTGGATTAGACAGATTCTATTTGGGATACCCTGGTATTGGCTTAGCAAAATTATGTACACTTGGGTTTATGTTCCTTGGACAACTATTGGACATTATTCTTATTGCAGCACAGGTAATTTAAAAAATGATAACAATTATGGTTATATTATAATATTGCTTATAGCTGTCATCATTACAGTTCGTGAATAGAAGATGGACATCTTTGAACATAGGCTTCCCCAATGGATTGCCATCAATCAAATCATTGTTTGCCTCATAAGGTTGTCACTTTATCTGGTCAAAATCTACATCATTTCACAAAAATAAAACCTCAGATTTGAAGAAAATTTGGAACACGAAACTCTATTTTTCTTTTTTAAATACCATAACAATTTCATTTACAACTTATATAAATCGTAATTCTTCTTCTAAACGACTTGACCGATTTTGATGAAATTGTCATGGCCAATTAATGGGTCACCTGAATGGTTCTTATCTATAATAGGACCCAGGTAAATATGGGTATACAGATTGTTAGTATATTAATAATTGTTGGTGTATCTGTTAGTGATTGCATAACTTCTGAACAACTTGCTTGATTGAGGTCATATTCACACAATATATTTGTTTTATTAAGATAATGGTTCATAGCTATTCTGGGATTCGATAGATGGCGCTGCAATCAAGTTGTTAACTAATTGTATATTAATAAACTACTCTTATATCTTAAATTAAAAATTAAAATAAAACCCTGAAACAAAAAGAGCTGATGATCTTTAAATGGCTGAATAGATTTTCTTGAAACAAAGCTAAGAACATTTTCGATCAAGGCACCTTTCAAACGAAAAAACTTAAATAAAAATCGGTTCATTCGTCCAGGAGCTGTGATGCCACAGACAGACACACAGATACGCGCTACAAACATATAACAACATAAAACGTTTTCGTCAGGGGTTAAAAATTACTCATATTCACAATATATGTTGGTTTAGTGCTAAAAACTTACAAAATCTGGACCCGATAAATGGCGCTGTGATCGAGTTATTTTACGAATTTTATAATTACACTTTAAGGTGAAAGCTCCAGGGTGGCCCGCGAAATTCAAATTTTCTTACGTTTTTTGGACTTTGTAGGTCAGGGTCAGGTTGAATATTTAAGAAAATATGATTCGTGACCGTAACGAGTATGTGTTTATAGAATTATTATCATTAAAATCACCAATACAACCCTAATTCCTTTGAATGAGTTTTTCTGGAAATAGTCATTACAATAGGTGGTAACTACGAGTAACATACTTGGTGGTAACCAAGTAGGTTGTTTTTCTATGGATTCAATTGAATGAGAGCTAATACTATTCCACTCACCAGATGTCGCTACTTGACACTGAGGTAAAGTTGTTTATATGATTTAAATGAGAAGTTAGTTTCAAATAAAAGTTTATCAGTTTCTAGAGTATTATATTAATACACCAAACAGTGCCTCAGTGGTTTGCTCTTACATTTTTTCATATTTTACCTTTTTTTTTCTACTTATAAGAATATCTGTGGTTTGGTTTATTTTTAATATAATTAATACAAAATATAAATAATAGTTTAGAAATAAACATTACCCTCGCCTTTTTTGAATTTATTAACTTCCCCGCTATGAAATCAGTTAAATATTACACCTCATTTTTAAGTGGCACCGCTCTGGTGGCAGAAAAAGTAGACGCTCTCATTAGGTAGGGTAATTTTCAATTGAATTTTTTTTAATAAATGACTAGGTGGCCAATTAACCGGCTGTTTAGACTATTCTTTAGAAGTACATAATATTTACATAATCATATATATTATTCACTAGTTATAAGGGCGGCTCCATGGTTTTTGTTGTATTGATCTTTCAGGTACTAATTTTGGAATTCAGAGTTGCTGTTAGCAGTCATTCAGTCAGGCACTTTAACAGATATCTACTTTATTTTCCTTTGATATTCTTATATTTTTCAACAGTATATTTATATTATAAGGAATTTTTTAGGTTGTAGGGCCTGCAGATGGTTCTGCATTTGTCATCCCATACTATGGGGCAGGAGTTACAGTTATCAGGAGTGATAATGAGACTTACTTACTACCACAGGCAGACTGGCATAACATTACTTGACAGTGGGGAACAATATCCTTTGAAGATGATGAGGATTATGAATGGACTTAGTAGATTTTTCAGTGCAGTGAAAAATATCATGTGATCAAATTCTAAATTTGTATTTCTTTCTTTATATAGACTCTTTTTTGTAAATAACGCACTATTGGTAAAATTTCAAAGGACCATTTGATTTACTACTGTACTATTAATGTTAAATTATCAGTAACCTAATTCTAAAAATGTGATGTTAAATATTATTTGAAATAAAATGTATTATGTATATAAAGAGATATGGATATGTCTTTGAATAAACCATTATAGTAGGCAATAATATATTATGAAAATGTAAATATAATACTTTCAAATTATTAACAGTATCCTAGAATAAGAAAGATCTGTTGTAAAAATAACGAATGTCAGTACTGTTTACAGGAAATAGTTTATTTACAAAATAAATTATTAATCCTCACTTATAATCACTTTCTTTTTATTTGTTCGTCATCTGTTTCAGTTACAGCTGGTTGAGTTTCCTGCATTGCAATGTCTGTCGGTGGTGCTGTCAATGTAAATATTACTGGTATATCTGATAACACTGGGTTACCATATTTCTCTAATAGCCTAATCCATGATAAAAGGGAATCCCTTGATGATGTTCCTGTTAAATAACAAACATTAAAATAGATCAGGTTCCATTATATATAAACATTAATGTATTATTATACAAAATTCTATAACTTGAAAGCAAGTGTACCCCGAGAATCAGAACTGTACCACAGAAATCTGGTTCTTTGCACCTTAGTTGTTGTTCCAATCGCTAGTCAGGCTGTTTAAAGTATTACAATTTTGAGATAGTTGTTCTATCATCTATCAAATGAAGAAATATTTTCACGGCATTCAGTTTAAGTCAATTATCATGACACTCAAAGAATATTTTATAAGCTCCAATACACCTATAGCAGTTGTACGATTATATTTATATGCTACATTTTTTTTATAGGATAAGGGTGACAAATAAGCACACAGTCCACCTGATGGTAAGTGGTTGCTGCAGCCGATAGACATCTACCTCTATTCTCAAAACCTCAAATCAAAATGCAGATGCGTTGTCACCTCTGAGGACTAAGATGGAATGCCTCATTTCAAGTAAAAAGGGTATCCGGTTC